CCTGTCTAAAATTTTACAACTGCATCTGTTAAACAGATTCCCTACCTCTCAGCAGTACTGAGAGGTAGGGAATTATTATTATTATTTATTATTTATTTATACCCATTTTACAGATGTGTAAACTGAGGCCCAGAGATTATGGCAGAAATTTTCAAAGTTACCAGTGAATCTTGAGTGCCCAACAAGAGTCAACTTAAAGAGGCCCAAATTTCAAAAAGTGCTGAGCACACAGCTTCTGAAAATCAGACCCCTTTAAGATGACTCTGACTGAACATTCGGAAATGGAAGCCCCTAAAGTCACTAGTCAGTTTTGAAAGCCTGGGTGTATGTGACTTATCTAAGGTCACCCAGTGGCCAAATCCCAGAGTACTGACTCCAGAGCCTTTGCTCTAGCTACTAGATAACATTCCCCAAATGAAAGCTGATCTAGTTTGGAATTGAAAAAAAAAATCCTTTAAATGGTGCTGAATCATTAGGATTCTCAGCAGTTCAATCTGTGTTAATGTCTCTAGGTACTGAATGGGTTGGAGTCCCCTACCGGTCACATGCAGTAATTGTTACCCACTGCTGCTTTTCCATTGGACAGATGGTTTTGGCTGGCTTAGCTTATGGCGTTCACAACTGGAGGTTGCTGCAGATTGCTGGATCTGCCCCTGTATTTTGTCTTTTCTTTTACATATGGTAAGCATGCATTTGCCAGAGCGCTTTTCTCAAGCATTGCAGTGTTATTTGTGATCCAGGTTATACACGGGCTTTACAGAGTGGATTTATCTACACATTGCAGGGTTGGTCCTTCCCAATATAGCCCATATCTTGTAAAGGTTTATACATAGTTAATGGGATCTGCTGGGCCCCCAGCATTTTTGGCTGTCAGGCCACTTTTATGTAGGTGCCTAACTTTAGGCACCAAGATTTGAAAATCTTGGCACTACAGTAATATTATTTCTATTGAAACAAAACAACCCATATACTCACACCCAAGCCATAGCGCCTCAGAAGAATTACATCTCCCGTAGTAAACACACATCATCAAATATATTTTATTACTATGGAAGATGCATTGAGTGGATGAAGTTAAGTGGGTAACTGGGGTTTTGATAGCAAAGAACTCTTTGGAATTCACATGCTTTGTAGGGTCCTTCCAGAATCTGCTCGATGGCTCATGACAAAAGAGAAGGTAAAGGAAGCCAAAAAACTACTTCAAAAGGCAGCATCTGTGAATAGACGGACCATCTCTCCAGAACTGCTTGATCAGGTAATAAATCCTGAGATGGGGAGTGTTTGCAAAATGTATTGTATGCAGGATTCAGAAACCTATTTTTTTGGGGGTAAAACACAGATAAATATTTATATAAGTGGATAAAATGCTTTAAAATGTTTTTAATGACTCTTGTGCTGCCTATAAATAACCTTTTACTGTGTTCCAGTACTGAACATCCAGTTTCAGGCCTTATTGTTTCAGTGTTGTATAGACCATAAAAAAAGTTTTCTTGATAAGCAACTCTTGGGGGAATTTCTCTTTCTGTCTTCTAGCAAACAACCCAAAATATGGGGGGGTGAGGGGGATTTTCAAAAGCACCTAATGGATTTAGGTGCACATGTCTCAAGTCAGTGGGACTGCTGTGTCTAAATTCCTTAAGAATTTTTTTAAATCTCTCCCTAGAAACAGAATTATCCGAATATTCTCAAATCTCATATGAGCAAACAATCCTCACTTGTGAATTCATCTTGTTTTCTTGTGCTCAGAGAAGCGCCTAATATTTTCTACTGTTTACCAAAAGTGGGGAAGAGAACTTCAGAGGTTGCGTTCATATGATGTGCCGTTTGCATACGCTCCATAAGGGAGTGACTGCATTGTCCCTTAAAAGTCCTGCAAATCACTTTTTCTGGGTGGAATTTTGGCCAAAAAATTAAAAATTCTGTGAACGGTACTTTAAAATTCTGCTTATTTTATTTGTCAAAATAACACAATGTAATCACATCACTTTCAATTATTTTGGTAATTTACTTCAAAATTCCTGTCAGCAAATATGTCTGTAACAATACAGACAACAAAAAAGATCCCCCCCAGGAATAGAAAGTTAAAGTAAAACCTACAACAACCCAGTTCCTGTTTGTCTGTTATGCTTTTGTTGGGTGCATCAGTCTGGGTGTGTCATGCGCGCCAGCTGGGCACATCTTGGGGGAAAACTCGGCCCTTCTGGTCTCAGACAACTGCACCCTTTACCA